GAGTATCACTGAGCTGTTCAGGTCGGTGGGATTTGTCTCCTGGCAGTGTGCACAGAACAATGTGGTTGTTGCCAAGGACTCTGTAAAAAGAAGATTTTCATCTTTGTACTTTCTGGAAGGGTGGCATTAATGTCTTGGCCCCAGAGGGTAAAAAAAAGCTCCTTGAGTATGGATTGTCACAGCCTTCTTGGGTTGTTCCATCTGCCAAAAGCTGGGATAAGGCTGGAGACTAAAGTAATACTGCCCTGTTGCTTTTTATCTTGAGGGTTCTGTTGCTTTGAATTTCTGTTGTTAAATGAGATGTTTCTCTTGGAAAAGAAGTACTTTGAAAGGTTTATTAGGCAGACAGGCAGTTGCCTTCATCCATGCGTTCAGAATAATAATATGAGTTCTGTAAGCTTCCAAATAACTGTGTGTCCATGTCATCCATAGAGCAATGCTTTGAATATTCTTGTGCCATTTGGGAATGGTATTCACTACACAGTGTATATACACAAGACTAACTCTAGTAGCAGCTTCCATTTTAAACAGTGTCTGTTCCCCCCCTGGCTGTAGGTATCCCTATTACATGCTTTCCTGCATTGGAATTGAATGGAAACCACTGACCTGGCTCCGTTACACTGTCTGGATCCCTCTCTACCCCTTAGGGGGCTTGTCAGAAGGTATGTCCAGAAAAGACAGTTTAACAAATAAGGAATTCAAGGTGGGGCAAATAACTTTTTTTTTTTCCCCCTGGCTGCTGGACTTAAAAATAATAAAATAGAACAAGAGATACATAGATTTGCTTTGAGGAAGTGTTTTGTCTTTCATACTGAATCATTGCCTGTGCCTCTGTTCAAGCTCACAGATCTTCACATTACCTTGGCATTGCAGAGGACAGGCAGGGGCTCATGTTGTGTTGTAATTGTACCTGTCAGGACCCGTGTCTGGGAGGCAGGAGGAGGTTTGGGCATTGCCCAACACCAAGCAGGGGAAGGACTGTGCCTGTTTGGTTGCTGTGGGTATTTGTGGATGGTAAATGCTGCTGGCACAGGCCCTGGGGCTGCAGCTGGGTGTGGGAGCAGTGTCTCACCAGGCAGGTTCACTGCTGCACTGCCTCAGCTGCTTCCCACCACACTGCACCTTGAACAGCCTCAAAACTGCTGCAATTAATGAGAGCGAGCAAATAAGAAGGGAATAGCCTGAAATAGGTGGTGTGGGCTGGGTAATTGTATATTTTATCTGTGTTTGATGATGATGGTGACCTTTGCTTTCAGCTGTCTGCATCGTCCAATCCATCCCAATCTTCAGTGAAACAGGGAAATTTAGTCTGGGATTGCCAAACCCACTGAATGTCACAATCCAGTTCCCATTTGTGCTTCAAATATATCTTATAGCCCTGTTTTTAGGTAAGTATTTAGTTGTGTTTCTCACTATGGAAATATAAAGGCCAGTTCCCCCTGAATAAGTAGATTTTTCAAAGAAAATTAAATTCCTGCATCTTGGGGACCATGGCAACACAAAACTGCTTGAGGTTAAGCATTATCCTTGTGGCTTGTTCATGTAAATTTGTCAGTGATGAAGGGGAACTGATTAGCCCTTCATGAAGGAGACCTTGGCAACAAATTATCAGCATTAACTTGGGTTAAAAGAATAATTTTTACATGTATTTATAACCTTAGAGTACTTAGTTTCACCTTTCACGTGGTATTTGAGCTTTGCAATGATTTAGTGGAAATCTAAACATAATTTCAAATTAAAGCAATTCAGTTAAACATTGCAGTGTAATAACAACTGTAACATGAAGTCATGTTTTTCCAGGAAACAATACAAAAGGTTCTTTAAATAGTGCACTTAAAGAAGAAAGGTGTTTGTTACATACTTGGTTTCTGGTGTTACACTTTTAAACACAATTTAACTTTGTTGTAGGCACACCCAGCACTCTGGGTATCCACAGCTCTCTAGAGGCTAACCTGGAATTTTAAACTGAGCTTTCACTAGATTTCTCCCCTTAAGACATTGCTTAAAGCCAACCTTTAATCGAGTTTCACTCCGAAATACCTGTTTCATCCTCCACAGCTCTGCACAGTGGGTGTCACAAGGTGACAAACCAACCTTCTGAGCAGCCAAACCAAACAGCCTGTGCAGCAACTCCTTCCTCACCCAGCAAAACAACACTTGCATTAGCTTTCAGTGCTACACACACCCTTAAAAAATTTATTTCTTTCTGTGGTGGTTTGGTTGGTTGGTTTCTGTTATTGTTTTTTTTTTTTTTAATCTGGTAGCATTAAAATGATGTCCTACCTAAACGCTCGGTTCTTTTCCAGGGATATTTGTAAACTTCCGTCACCTCTACAAGCAAAGGAAACAGCACCTTGGACCAAAGAAGAGGAAGATGAAGTGAGGGAGGACTGCAATGCTTTCTTGTCTCACTTGATGACAAGATAAGCCTTCAATTCTTATGGTTTTACCCTCTGTAATGTAAAGAATTTTGTAAAAATGAAATGACCACGCTAGATTTCATGATTTCATAGTGAATTCAGGTAACATTTCCATATCCTGGATTTTGTTCCCTTTCCATCACCTGTGCATGGCATTTACCATTGAACAGTTAAACAAACTTGTATCCTGTCAACCAGCATATTAGAAAGAAATCCTATTATCTGCATATGAAATGCTTATAATCAGTGGAGCAGCACTAAATAGAAATAGTGTTTATCTTTTAATTGGAGATTTGCTCTTTCAATATTGCATGCAGATAGGGCTTCTGAGGCTGGGATATGCCCTCAGCTGGCCTGTGCTGTTCCTGGGATGCATCTTGCTGGCAGGAGGAGCACAGTCTGAGACCACTGTGAACAGTGTCTGGGTGTTTATCAACCACTGGGGTAAACTTGCTCAGCACATACCCCCCCTTTTCTTCTGCAGGATTAAAACTGGAAGTAGCTAATGCTGACTTCAGTGCTATCACTTAGCCTGTTTCTAGTTCAGCCTTAACAGAATAGAGTGCTGTGTGGACCTGTATTCCTGTAGCTACACATCCTATCCAGTCCTGAGGAAAAGGAAGCTGCCCCTCTGAGGCAGAAATGCTTTCCTGGTTGGCAAAGCAAGCACTGAAACAGAGCAAAATAAGGAAACATAGGTACCAGCTTTCTCCTGGCATGGGAACCCCAAAGAACTCCATCCCACCCAAAGGGAAAACGTGGAACTGTCGTGGGAGATGGGGCTCCACTGGTGGATCCTGGCAGTGCTGTGGCTCCTGTATTTATGGCCTTGAGCAAGGCAGCAAAATTGTTTTTCTACTTCCATTTAGGGCTGCAGCAGAGAGGTTGGTGTGTCTGATTTGACTGGCCCCTGGTGGGATGGAGCAGTGGGTCAAATAAACTCTATTATTGAGATAGCACAGATCAAACCTCAGTAAGGGAGATCCCACACGGGGTCCGAAGGACCCTTTTTTCTGTGCTTGTTAAACAACAGCAAGAACACAACAAAAGAGAAGCTCCCCCCACACTGCAGTTCATCACTGTCTCACCTGGAAGCCTTTGTTTCAGTTGACTTTATTTCAGGATGCCCCTCACCCCGAGCCTTCCATAGCTGATCCCAGATCCCTCTGGCCTCCTTAATCCAGTTCAGAGGTGTACAGAAAGTTTACTCTAAATTGTACTGTGGTTATGAACAGGTTGTTTCCCAACTGCCACTGCCCCAGGGCACTGCAAAGCAATGCCAGCAGTCCACATTAGCTTAGTGCCATGTTACTGGTTGTCTTTTTCTACTGTAAAACCATAGGAATCCTCCAGAAAAATTATTTTCTATACAAAAAGTAACAAACAGCGTAATGTTTGTGATATGGACCCAGTGATTGTTACTGTAAAGGAAAGGAAACTGTTATAAGGAGACTTTAACAAAGAACCAGTTCAAGCTCCACGCTGCACTTCACAAATTGTGTTCTCTCAAAAGAGGTGTAATCCAAGTTCTCTTTGGGGATACTCCAGACTCCCACTCATAGGAGAGCACAGCTGACTTTACTCAGGAGAGCTGAGCACTACTTACACAATCTTTCACTTAGCACACACTGTACCTATGTTTGAAGTATGTCAAAGGATTGAACTAGCTGAGCAACAGAACAGCAAGGATCACTTTCATACTTCCATTTTCTCCTCTGGGCATTTAAACTTCTGTTATGAAATCCTTATGTATCCATCAGTGAAACTGTGGTACCTAGTGCAGGCTGTCATGGATCTTACACTACTGAACTTTAGTCCTTCAGCAAGAATGTGTTTCTATTAATAAAGATTTACAACCAAATTTTGCTTTCCTTCAGTTGTTCCTTCCCTGCACACGAGGAGTTGTATAATTTGGTATTTGACATGTGATAAAGAGCTGCAAGCAGAGCCTTCGCCAGGTTAGTGTTTTAGGCCACACAGCCTGGTTGCTCTGAAAACGGAAAAAAATCCAACTGAAATTTTCCTGAAGAATTGCTCTTTATTAATATTATGCAAATAAAAAAACTGTCCCCCAAGATTAAGTTACTTTCACAGGCATAAGCACTGCAGTGCCAGTGATAACACTCGCTCTGGCAGTACAGGCTGGCTGTCAGGCTGGGTATAAAACCAGGGCCAACACCCCGAAATCAGCTGACTCTGATCTTGCTTTCCACATGTTTTCTTTGGACTGATGAAGTTTTATAAAGTGGAGTAGCTGCCTTTTAGGATACTCTTACCAGCGAGTTCAGTTACGTAGTAACTGCATTTGGGAGAGGCCAAAAGCCACGAGCTGCCCCAAACGGCATTTTTTTACTGAATAACTTCCACCCGTCATCCAACACCATAACTGGCCTTGGGACACTTTCCCCAGTTTCCAGGTCTGACTAAAGCCACCACGAACTCGCTACGTTTGTTTAGAGAGCACTGATGCAAAATCCCCCCTTGGATAGGAAGTTCTCCAAACAGTAATTAAACAGCCCTAAAAAGTAAACAGGACAAGAAAATCAGAACCACTCGAGCCTCAGCCTGGAGAAGCTCCCGAAATGGAGGCTTCACATCCTCTCAGTGCTGCTGCTGGAAAAGTCTGTCTGCAGAGGGGCAATGTTGTGGTCGTAGGCGGCGTATTCCGAGGCTCCGGTGCTCGCCACCTTGAGCTGCTGTGCCGCGTGGGTGAGCTGGAAGGCGGCGTCGGGGTGGGCGGTGTCGGGGAGGAGGGTGCACTCCCTCTCCAGCATGTCCGCCACGCCCTTCAGCAGCTCCAGGAACCCGAAGGCCAGCGCTGCCTTCCGCAAACGGTTCAGCTCCTGCAAGCACAGAGACTCCCTTTTAACGCCGCTCCGAGCCTTTATGTGAAACGTGGTTTTCCTTCTTTTTCTTTGAAGGTGATGGTTACTCACAGCTCGGCTGCTGGAAACTGCCCAGCTGCTCACGAGGTGAGAAATGCTTCAAAAAAAAGGGCTGAGGATGATCACAGTGGCACGACTAAACAGTTGGATTTCCCTTGATCCTTTCCTAAAAATCCCCCCTTCTCCCCTCTGTGCATTCAGTTACTTTGTCTGTCCCAGCAGGGCTCCAGCTGAGGCTTCACTGACTGACCGACTGCTGCCTTGAACCAGCGTCCACATAAAATGTGGATATATTGATTTTTCTTCACTGTAAACTGACAGTGCTTATGTGCACTTAGAAGGGTATTCATTCCTCATGTCTCTGAGGGCTACAATACTAAACTGCTTCAGCACTAAGCTTGCAAGAGGGACAATAACTTCCAGCTACAGTCCAGTTATGGATTACTGTGATGTGGCCAAATGGGCCTGGAATTTTGTCTTTCTCTGCTTCAGTTGTAGACAAAATATGAGAGACATTTTCAGACTCAGAATGACACCTGTGTTCCTATTTCTGTCTGATCCTCCAGCTTATTTCTACCTGGACAAGAGCATGAAATCTGTAAAGAAGTTCACTGTGGAAGGAGCAGGGGGCACGAGGGACACCTGTAAACATGACATGTCTGTGCCACCCTGACAGAGAATATGGTGGCACAGAAACCAGACCCTATAAAATGACTCAGGATGTCTCCTTTGCAGAGCATCTGTGTTCTTACAGCCCTACAAGCCTGCACAGAACATCCCACAGTCACAGACACTGTGGTTTCTCTGTTAAATGCATGGGTCAAACCTGGGCCAACCTGCAATGTTACTCACTTTATAGAAGGTCTGAGTTTTTTCAGGGAGTTTCCTTGCATTTCTCAAGATCTTCTGTACATCTGTCTGCAGAAAAGAGGGGGAAAAAAAGTACAAAAATCTTGGCAACTTCTGGGGAAAGCTGCAGGAAAAAAAACTCAACTCTTTATTGATAAATTATTCTGGCTATTGACACATTGCAGCTCACAAAGGCTGAAGCAGAAATGGTAATTATACTAAATCCAATAAACCAAGCAAGATGCTACACTGGAGACAGAGCTTTCATGAAACAAGCTATGCTTTCTGATTGCATTTTAATCAGGACACTGTGAAGAGGCAGTGTTCATAAAAATGAAAGAAAAGCAATAAAGCAATTACCTTAAACAGATAGGACACACACAGACCCCACTTTCCTGCTAAGATGGCCACTGCTGCTCAAAGTGAAGCACCAAACCCTCATCATTTTACCTGGAGGCCACTTGGTTTAATCCAGACTGTGACATTCTGGGCGTAGCTGCGCTTGTTCTTGGGCTGCAAGGGGAAAGGGCTCTTGTTGTCATCCTCCCCATAAGGATTTTCTTTTGCATCTGGGAGAAAAAGAAAACAAACAGGCTTAGCTACTAAGATTTGGCAAAATCATGCACAGCACACTGACTGTGTCAGAGTTACTCAAAGGAGTGCGAGCAGTACCTGAAATGGGGCCAAGCTGTGCCATCTTCCCCAGCCATGGCAGGGGCTCAGGACCAGGCTCAAAGAGTGACATCATGAGGTTTGATTTCTTCTTGCTATCAGCTTGTGAATAAAGCATTCCATACCACTCTGGCCTATGGAAAAGAGCAAAGCCCCAAAGGCTGAAAATCTTCCACCCCTGTGCCTAGAGTTTGCCTCCCTCTCACTGTGTGGGGGCTCAGAGTTTTGCAATTTGTACTGGCAGAAACATCTCTGTGATTAGAAATCCACAGCTTTGTCTGGCAGTGCAGAGTTCTGCACAGAACACAGATATAAATAACATAATTTATAAATAAAGCACAAATGAGCAAAGGAAGAGATTTTTCAGGCAGACATCCAGCTCCATACCCCAACTGGACGACAGCCACCATGCCTTCCACTTTGAGGCTGCCATGTAATAAAACACAGAAGTTGGGGATTTTCCCAGCAATCTGATTTGCTGAATTCTCATCTTCGGTGTCATCTGTGATCCCAGGTCCCACCTCATCCCCTTCTGGGGAAGAATAAAGACAAACAAAGAGAAAACATAAGAATAAATTCAAACACACCAGTTCTCTTCCCATGACACCACCCTTTACTGTCTGCATGCAAGAGTTAATTAATACTTTTGTAGAACTAACAGCTGCTAAATGAACTGTTTGGGCAAAGTGGCACAATAATGATACATAAATATTCCACTGCATTGTACTCACAGGCATTAAATATTCATCTTGCACCACGTATTTCATGGCTCATTATTATTTTTAGCTTTAAGTTTAGCATGTTCTACAAACAATGATGCTTTAAGGACCCTGGTCCCTCTATGAACTTCCCAAAGAACACAGTATTCAAAATAAGAAACCTTGTGTTCAAGGTTTTAATTTTAATGTAAGCACACAAACTTGACATCTGGCATTTTGATAAAGCACGAAATCTGTGCTTTTAGTCTAAACCCCCACAGACATTACAAGAGAAGCCTGAGGTAGTTTTTTGCTGAAAAAAACCAAACCTGCTCACCTCTGTTAAGTGCAATGGGCAGTACCAAGTGTCTGGACAAGACAGGAGGGCTGGAAATGTCAGCTATGTCTACAAACCCAACAATTTCTAGATCTGGGGGGAGACAACAGGTTTAAGTCAGATTTGGAAACAGCTGAAATGGATGGAGTCAATTTAACACCAGTTCTTACATCACTGTTTTCTGAAGCAATGAGGCAGCACAGAGAACCCAAACCTCAGCTGGGGTCTCTGAATGTTAATAACCATTCACAATACCATGACTTTTTAAGATAAAAACATAACTTCCATCACACACAGCTGCCCACGAGCTGTGCTGCTTGACAAATACAGGATTGTGGACATTGACTTTTACACTGTAACAACCCACTCCTGTTTTAGAAATGTCAAAGGAGAGGAAAGAAATACCTGCTGCTCATGGGAGCAGTGTCCACTCGTGGGAGGGCTGAGAAAGGTTTTTCTTGGCACAGTTGTTTTTTAAAATAATCTACTATTGGTAAGAAGTGCCAGGATGACAGAGAACCTAAATCTCATAAATCTCAACTTGTGCTGCCTCACCACTTCCTCCTGACTCCACTTCTAATGGATTCCTCAAAGAAACCTCCAGAAAGATGCTGCTTTGTCTCACCTGATCCTGCAGATTCTTTCTGGTAAAGGCAACTCTAATACAAAATGCAGCCCCTTCTTCCACACATCTCTCCTGTCTCCCATGAAGCTTATGAGGGTGTTCATGGAAAGCAGCCTGTGGCTGTGTTCCAGTCTCTGCCTCTAAAAACTGGCACCCTGAGCTCTGCAAGTGCCTCTGCCCCACTCCAGCCCTTTCACCAGGCACTCATGGATGAAAGAGGATGATGTTCTTGTCCCCACATCCCCAAACATTACACAGTCAGCGAGTGATAATTGCAGAGAAAATGTGGATGAAACAGTAACTACACAGCTGGCAGTGAAAAGGCAGAAATCAAATGGGTTTAAGTCAGAAAGCAATCAAAGGTTTGTTACCTGTATTAATTGCTTTAGGAATGGGGTCTATCTCCTCATCTATAATGAAAGGCTCAGGTCTGGGAAATACTTGCACATCAGATGCTAAGTGGCCACACTTGAGAACAGCATGGAATGGTGTATAAGCCAGGTCTATCAGCTTTCTAGAACACAAACACTTATTAAGGAAAACATAAAACATACCAAATGGAAATTATTTGTCTGAAGCACACTAACTTAGGTCCCAAACCTTTTTTTAAGCTACAGTTAATTTAACAGTTCTAGTGTTGCTAAATTATGGAACAGAGCAGCACATTATCACACTGATGGCAAATGAGCAATAGCTGTGGAAATTACTGTGTTCTGTCTGCCAAGCTTAAACAACTGCTATGGTTTGGTTACACAATAATTAAAATAAATATTGACCTTAATCAGTGAAGGTTAAGATGAAAATACAGGTAACAAGAACATAAAATAAAAGGAAAAAGAAGTTTAATTAGAACATCTCATATCACCAGATTTCTTATTGTATTTGTTTTCCTTTAGAGATACTAACTGGAAACCTTCCCAAAGGCCTATTATCTACTAACCCAAACATTGACTGCACATTCTTCAGGCACAGGGGGCCATCAATGGTGAAAATCTGCCCTTCCCCATTGTTTAAATCAATGAGCCTTTCCAGGCAGTCCAAGGAATCTGTGCTTTGAAGCTGTAAAAAAACAAGGGGAAATATTTTTGTTGAGTGTTCTTTTTCCTCTCTTTTTTATTAACCAGTATGTTTTAGGAAAATATACACACCACAGCAAAAAGCATTTGATTGGATGCTCTCCTGATTTTTTGTTATCTAACTCCTTTCAAAATAAAGCAACATTCTTGGTCTCCCAGGTAATGTTCTCTTATTACTTATCAGAAATAGAAAATTTATTTTAAACATTTTCCCAGTTATCCTGATGTGTAAAAAACACTTCAATCCATCAATTTAATCAGAAGGATCATCCTTGACAAGAGACCTTGAAGCTGAGATATTTATTTGATGCCTAAGCAGAAAATCCTTCTGTGATGGACACAAGAATATTGGTGTCAGGTCAAAAGCAATGCTATTAATAAAACCTTTTCTAAGGAACCTTAGTCAAATAGGCTTCTTTTTAAACATTGTTTATTCAGCAGAATTCTAACTCCTGTGGAGATTTTTAAAGCTGGTATTCAGATTTGCAAGAGAAAAGTAAGGGAAAGAAAACCAACACTTTTCCTTCGAAACTAAGGGAAGCTGGTTTGAACAGTGGCTTGGAGACTTCACTTTTGCTCTCTCACATTTCCACATAAAGCTATTATATTTTAAGAGTTGAGCATCTTTACAACAGAATTCATTTAGTCAAGAATTTAACTGTAGGTTAAGAAAACCCCACAAAAGCATTCAGTGTAATTAATGCAGTAATGGTAACAACATAAGCAGATAAATTAAAATTGCCTGATATTCCCCAGGGGGAAACTGGCATGATTTATAAAGATTACTATAATAATGCAGCAGTAGTAGATAATAACAGTGCAATAATAAACTTCTTAGCAGTCACACTTCAGCCAACAACTAACACTGGAATGTCAAGCACACTTCAAGCACAAGAACATCCAAGGGTGTTTTGTGCCACCCTGGTTGTTAATTCAGAAAAAACCAACAGTTATCCCACACAACAGAGCAGAAGGAAGGTATTAAGGACATCACCTCTTCCAGGTTGGCCATGCACATGACGTAGAGCTTGGACGGGAAGGGGAAGGGCAGCGGGAAGCGGTTGCTGTCGCTGCGCTGGTTGTGCGTGGCCAGGGAGTGGCGCAGGGAGCCGCGGCCGATGCCCAGGCAGCCGTCGGTGACAAGGACAACCTGGGGGGACAGCACGGGGGAGAATTCCTGTCTGCAGGGGGCAACGAACACCAAAACATCGCAGCAGCCTTCCTGCAGCGCATGATCCTGCAGGGAAAAACCCCACTCCCATCGGGATTCCCTCCGCCGGGCTGAGGGAAGGACCGCGAGTAAAATTCCCAGAAAACAGAAGATTGAACCATCCTGATTCAAACTGTGCATGGCAAATATGCATTTCCTTGTCCTTAGGCAACTGCACTAGAATTTAAATTCCATAAATTTCATTTCTAAGTGTACATCAGAAGCACAAGTGCCAAAAAAAGCAGCCTGATGCTGATGGACTCAAGGATTCCAGGCTTATTTCCAGGTGGAAGATAAAGCCCAGTTCTCCTGCAGAATCTGGAGGGCAACTCGACTTCCGCTCCAAGCCACAGAAACCATAAAAAAGTAGTATTAATTATCTTTGCTCTTTGCAAACACAGCTGCAGTTTGCTCAGAACTATTAGAGCAAAAATACACATTTTTCTATTGAGTTGCACATCACAGTCAATCCTTGTGGGAACCTGCACTAAGAGGTTACACTGAATAATGGGATAATTTACACTCAGCTGAGACACTGAGCAGTGAAAGAGCTGCTCCTTCAGCACTGCACAGCAACAGCAGGCTGGGAGGTGAGGAAAATCAAATCCAATCCAAACTCAATGTGTATTTGCTACATCCAGATTTGTATCCTCTCCCCATCCTCAGTCTCTCTCTCTCTCTCTCCAGTCTCCTCAGTTCCCATCTGAACTGTTGCTCACCAGTGATGTTTTCCTCCAGTCCAAGACCCCTGACAGCCCATTCCCCACTGCCTTTCATCACCCCCCCACCACCTGAAGTGCCAGGAAAATGAGCCCTGACACAAATGAGAGACCAAATTGTTGAGGTTTAATCTCTGTTTGGTTTTTACACCTTTCTAGTTCTTTGCTCTGAATGTCTGCTGTTCCCAGGGGCCTTTTATCAGTGTTGGATTGTGAAGTACTACCCAACCCATAAACCTCTATCCTTTTTCTCCTTAAGGAATGTTGGTTGAGGCATCTTCCCAGCTCACTGAGCTGCTAAATTACTGAACTTACATCAAGTGTCTCAGAAAACTGAGGGTTAAAAGCAAACTTTGCCATAAGAGGCAGCAAATCTGGAAGGCTGAGAGCTCTGAGGGCTGGCTGGAGTGTGTGAGCAGCTGCAAGTCAAATGACTCATTTGGGAAAGAAGTCAGATCAAAACACACTCAGCACAGTCCCACACTGGTGGTTGAGACCTGGAACTGCTACAAGCCCTGGAAACCATCAGGTATTGGGGAAGGAAGGTTCTTGAATGTGTGACTGCACCCCTTCCACCCTGAGTGAGGCTCCTGGGCCAGCAGAGTGCACCCAGACCAAATGCCAAACCTGCACAATGGTGCTCCTGGGCCACATTTTATAACCCACTGCACAACAACACCACACTGGACAGGAAACAGCCTAGTTTTTACTGCTGAATATTTAAATAAACATCACCTTCTGTTCCCATTCCAGATCTATCCAAAACACTAATTCTTTGTGGGTCTGTAGCACAGGCATGTCTGAGAGCATTCAGAGTTTTCAAATTATATTTACATTTCTAATGCAACTCACAGGGATAGAATCACAGAATCATGGAATGGTTTGGGTTGGAAGGGACCTTAAAGATCATCCAGTTCCAATCCCCCTGCAGGGAAAACTAAGGATGCACTGGATGCTACAAACAGTGAAATCAGTGTACCTGACATGGAATTGCTGCCCCCCATTCCTGCTGGACAATGTTGCAAACCCCCAGCAGTGCTGACTCCAGGCAGGTTTTGTCATAATCATCCATGTTACTCAGGGCTTCCTGCAAAGACAAACGCCACTGTCATTCCTGGGGGGAATATTCCTCCCAGGAGACACACACCAGTCACTCCTGGCTCTTGGTGAGTCAGGATGTTTGTTCTGCATGGTCACACAACTGCACTGTTACACAAAGGGAAAGAAAGGTGTAAAGAAATGATGAATGAAACCATGAGACAATGACAGCTGACTCTGAAAGAATTATAATATTATAAACAGAGCTCCCCAAGAGAAAAAAAAAATCCTTTGTATGTCTCAAAGAAACAGAAAAGTCAAAATCTGAAGCAAAGTCTAACAAGAAACATTTAGCTGAGAAAATCCTCACAGGTGTCAGAGCAGCTACAGCCTCTCAGAGGTTCAGAAAGGAGAGAACTCTCATGAGGAATTTGTCTCACAAAAACGCTTTGGCAGAGAGAGTAACAAACCCCAAACCTTCCATCTGCATCCATAAACCAGCTTTTCTCCTTGAAGTGAAAGCCTCACACTTAACACAGGGTGCAGCTGTGAGATGAACCTGCTAAAGGAGCCTGGCCGGGTTCTTGGCTTTCAGAATTCCTCAAATGAACACCTTAGGGAGGTGAAAACAAGTCAGAGAGGATGCCCTGGCACTCTAACACTGCTCTAAATCTGCAAACAGAACAGAGAACTTCTTTGAAAATCTGTTTGTCCCACAATGGACAATCCTAAACCATGGTGCCCTGTGACAGCAATGTGTCATTTCCTCCTGATATTAGGTATGATAACAAGATATATATGTACAATTTTTACTGCATTCAGAGGCTTTTAGTGTCTTACTGCAGTCATGGGAAACTTCCCTCTTGGATTTCCTCCCTTTCACTTCCTCCTCCCAACTTCCCATCACATCTGTGAGGCCTAAAATCACTTATTCTCATCCCTGCCCCGCTTCAACTGCTACACACCCCCAAAAGCACCTTCTCTCTGCCAAATCACCTGACTTTCTCAATGGTCCTGTCACCAGGACATCATCCCGTGCCATTTATCATGAGCAAAACCACAGGAACATCAGACAACCAGTTTTAGAGCTTTGAGGCAGCTCTTTCCTCTGTTTAACTCCATCCCCACTTTTAAGTTAACTGGCCACACTCCTGGGCTCGCCCGCAAAACAGCAAAATGTTTCAAACCCGCTGATTTCCCCTACACTTAAATAACGACAAAACACTCCATTCAAGATGTCGTGCACAGGATGACACCACAACACACAATTTCTCTCCCGATTGCTGGTGAAATTGGCTGATTTTGGTTTAAAATGCTGAGGGTTTCCCGCTGTTGTGTTGCACCCTCCCTACCTGCAGTGTGTTGTAGTCCCTCGTAAAGGGCACCATCAGCTCCCAGAGCGATGAGAACACCACGAGGGCCGTGAACTCCAGCTTGTAGTTGGTGGCCATGTGCTCGAAGAGCATGGTGAGCCCGTGGGCCGCCAGGTGCTTGCGCTGATACTCCTCGGAGCCCTCCACGGCCACGGGCCGGGTCATGGACAGGGACACGTCCATCACCACCACCGTGGGCATGGCGAGCTGCTCCTCCCGCTGCCCTCACGGAGAACCGCGATCACCCGCCTGCAAGGGAGGAAAAGGCACAAATCCTTATCAAAGTTACGGAGAGATCACTGAAGGTGCCGAGCTGGGAGGGGCCCACGGAGACCACTCAACTCTTAACCCCAGGAGTCACACGCAGGAGGCAGCTCGCCCTCACACTGACCCCGGGGAGAAGCGACAATTACCCTTGTCCCCCGAAACACTTCGCCCAAAACGTGGGATTTGGCTCAGATTCAGTGGGTCACACACAGCTCATCCCGCCGGGGGTAAAGGAAGGCCCGGACACGGCGGGAGCTGAGCCGCGCTAAGGGGAGCAGTCCCGGCGCTCCGGGAGCCGCCCAGCAGGCAGCCAGCGCTCCCTACCACCCTTTCCCGCTCCGCAGGGCCGCTCCCGGAGATTCCCGGGATGTTAGGGGGGAGCGGAGAGAGGCGCGCGGGGGAAGGGAATTGGTGTTGCTCACCCTGGGCCCGCCGCGCCGCCATGGGTCCGACACGGAAAACGTCCCCCCGGAACGCGCGGCGCGGGCGGGAAGGGCCGGGGCTCAAGCGGGAAGCGTTCTGTTGGATGTCGGAGTTGTGGGAATGCGGTGCCGCTGTAAAAATGACGCTGTGCATGGAGAAGGGGTTAGGGATAAGCAATCCCGGCTGGGCAGTGGGCCTCCTTCTCCCAGCTGTGGGAGTGAAGGACGGGGGAAGGGAATAAATGCCATTGCAAAGTGGGGATGTGCCCCTGGAGCTGTGCGTTCAGACAGCGGTTTGCTTTAATACTATCATGGAATCATGGGATCATTCAAGTTGGAAAAGACCTCTAAGATCATCGTGTCCAACCGCTCCCCCAGCACTGCCAAAGCCACCCCTATTCCAAGTGCCACATCTACATGGCTTTTAAATCCCTCCAGGGATAGAGACTCCACTCCTGCCCTGGGCAGTGCCAGGGCTGGACAACCCTTTCAGTGAAGGATTTTTCCCTAATATCCAATCTAAACCTTCCCTGGCATAGCTTGAGGCCATTTCCCCTTCTCCTGTCCCTTGCTCCCTGGGAGCAGAGCCCGATCCCCCCCGGCTCCCCCCTCCTGTCAGGGGGTTGCAGAGCCAGAAGGTCCCCCCTGAGCCTCCTTTTCTCCAGGCTGAGCCCCCCCAGCTCCCTCAGCCCCTCCTGCTGCTCCAGACCCTTCCCCAGCTCCATTCCCTTCCCTGGATGCGCTCCAGCCCCTCAGTGTCTTTCTTGTCATGAGTGGCCCAAAATCAAACAACAATTTTCTAATTCCCCTGTGACAAATCTGATGATCAGGCTGTTGTGACCATTAAATCCCTGGCCAGGACTGTTGTCATTTCTTCCTCTGTGGAGCTGCACCATGTCCATGCCACAGAAGAGTCCTGGACACCATCCCAAGGTTGTTGTGCCGGTGAGGGGCTGCTGCCTCCCTCTGCATCAGTGCTCCTGGTGTGGCAGCTGAGTGATTTTTCCAGAAAGAAAAAAAGAGTTTTAACGCTCCCTCTGGCATTGCAAAGTAGACACACATTGTGGCAAAGGTGTGACCTGTCAGCTGTAGGAGATGCCTCAAAATGGAGCTCCAGGGCCTTGTTTAAGGGTGATTTACCCCCTGGAGCTGCCGTGAGGGTGATCCATGTCCATGGCTGGTGCTCCAATCCTGTAGTTTGTAACACAGATAATCACCTGCCCTCACACTGGGAATAACCTGGGGCAGCAGACAAAGGTATTGGCTTCGGAGATAGACCCAAATCTATACAATACTGCTTAATCCTCTTAGGGCCTGTGGGTATTAAATGGGATTGGCTGTCCCCCACTAAGGTGTCCTTCACACCTGACCCTCCCTTGCATTAGGGCTCTGCTGGCAGAGGAGACCTCCTGAAAATGGGATCATTTTCATCCGCCTCCCTCTGCAACAGCATCTCCCACCGGGCTGTTAAGTACCAAAGAAGCTTCCAGCACTACACCCAGCCCTTGGAACTCCTGTTCCTCCTGGACACGTCTTTGGAAGGTAGGCCGGGGAGGTTTATTTGATTGGTTTGGATCTTGCCTGGCTGAGGCAGGAGCTGAGAAAAGGAGTTTACCAGGAGTTAACTGTAAGAAAGCTGCTAAACTTAACAAGGCTAGAGAAACAAAGAGGCTGGTGGTCAGGAATTGTGAAAGGTTGGAGAGCTCTTAGAACTGACCCTAAGTATGTGCACATATCTGTGTCCTCCCTAGGCCATTCTTTTAACTCTCCTGTCTTTGTTAGGGAGAGTTATTTTATAATAATGTCCAATTTGTTATACCTATTATGCAGTTCTGCCACATGCATGTTTATGTTCCTTTTACATATGAAAAGCAAAGCTTATATCATCTATTTATCTAGGTACTCCCATGACCCTCTATTAGTGTTGCCTTAGTGATCCTCCCAGCTATTTAAATGAAGATAATAATGCCTGTCTTGCAAGAAATTTAGGCTGATTAATTCCCTGGGTGTTATGCAAGAGGGTAAGTGTGTGATAACTTGCATGAAGAGCTTATCTGAGAATGGTTTAGAAAACTATGATTCACATCCAGTTAAAGAATAATGTAACATTTCCACTATGGAGGAAAAATAATCCATGGAGAGTGATATTCTGAGGTAAAACATTAGAATATAGAACACTCCAGATGTGCCAAAGGGTAGATGCTGTCCAGCCCCAAATCCCTGTCTCCAGACTATCACAGCTGCAGGATCTGTCTCTCTGGCATCTACAATTCCTCTTCCTTTCTAAATGCTGCTCAAATAATTATGCAGGATATGCTAATTACCCCCTAATAAAAGGTATGATTACAATTCCACTTTGCCAGTTCTGAATTCTACAGAAAGGCTTGGAAAGATGTAGTCATAGAAACAAGTGGCTGCTCTGCACCCCCAGTTTTAGTAGAACCACAGAACCACGTTTTCCTCACACTGAGGGAAAAAACTCACCCTTGCTTGGCCGCTTTCCTGGGGAGTGAAAGGCTGGAAAGCCACGGACCAGCATTGCTGGGAATTCTCAAGCAGTTCCCATCCTCCTGCTGAGCTTATTTTGGTGAATAACTGGTTTAGAAGGAGGTTTTACCAGCTTGATCTTGCCTTCAGAGCATCAGCTGTAGCAATTAAAAGTCGGTTCCTTGACAGAAGCTGTATTCTCTCCTCCTGCAGAACTCTGACCCAGTTGTTAATATTACAGAATAGCAACTGCACTCCAGTGAAAACACAATCCTTAACATCTCCTGGATGTGGGCATTTGGTGGAATCAGAATTCAGCTTGGATTGGACTGTCTCAGCCAACTCCTCTCTATTAAGCCAAACCTTTGATTATTAATCAGCACAACTTACAGTCGTATATAAAAAAATAAACTAAACCCTGGATCTAGATCTGCCTTTACTCATTTAAGTCCATTTCTTCTTACTGAAAAATACAAGAGTGCCAGTGAAGTGTTGCTGCCCAAATGGTGGTAAGTTGCAGTACTTTATTTTTCACAGCAGATTCTCTTTTGCAGGATTCTGCATCTTGTGCTGTGCAGTTCCACTCCTGATGCTCAAGATCAGCTGGAAGCTCCAATGGTGGCTGTAAATTCGAATTGCTGACCAAGAGAAGTCTCCAGTGGCTGCTGGGCACAGCTCTGGATTCTGAACCTTCAGGAAATGCATTTGCCACGGAGGAGGCGGCTACGAAGGAACCGAATCCTTTTCTTTCTTGCCATGGTGTTGGTCCTCTCTCTCTACCAGCTCCAGTTCAGCCCCTCTGCCCTTCCAGCATCACACACAGCCCCCCAACGCACGGACCCTGTCAAAGTGACCTCCAGGGACCCCCCCAGCAACAAGACTGCTGGGAGAGGCAATGCCACAGCACCCAAAATAAGGCACTGTATATATGTGGATGCTGAGCCAGCTGTGCCCGTCACTACTCCAGTGGATACAACCCCACAGCAAGAAAATGCCAGTGAAAGCCACCCAGACAAAAAACCACCCTATGAGTCCAAAGGAGAATATCCCCAGGACCTGTTCAGTGTGGAAGAACGCAGGCAAGGGTGGGTTGTCCTTCACATCTTTGGCATGATGTATGTGTTTGTGGCCTTGGCCATAGTGTGTGATGAGTATTTTGTCCCCGCTTTGGGAGTGATCACAGAGAAGCTGCAGATCTCTGAAGATGTGGCTGGAGCCACCTTCATGGCAGCAGGTGGATCAGCACCAGAACTCTTCACCTCCCTCATAGGTGTCTTCATCTCACACAGCAATGTCGGCATCGGTACCATTGTGGGCTCAGCAGTGTTTAATATCCTCTTTGTCATTGGCACCTGTGCCCTCTTCTCCAGGGAGATACTCCACCTGACATGGTGGCCCTTATTTAGAGACATCTCATTCTACATTGTAGACTTACTGATGCTCATCCTGTTTTTCCTAGACAGTGTCATTGATTGGTGGGAAAGCCTCCTTTTACTGACTGCCTATGCCACATACGTATTCACCATGAAACAGAACGTGTACCTGGAGCAATGGGTGAAGCAGGAGCTGAACAAGAAGCTCAGTGCTGTGCAGGCAGCATCAGCAGAGCATGTGAGAAAGGTTGGTGTCCTTAGAGTTCAGAGGGCAAGTTGGAAATAATTTGTTCTAGTGTAAACCATAAAGAAAAACCACATCTCCTTCAAAAAGCACATATTCAAACCTCAGAACACAGGTACTGGTCAATAATTATGGTTCTAAAATGAGGGAAATGCAATCTGGAGAGAGATTCTAAGAAATTAGAGAACATCACTACCATGCAATTACTAAAGGTCTCAGTTGTGGTTGCTCAGCTGCTTTCAAAAACACGTGTGGGATTTTGCTTTCTTGGTTGTTGTAAAAGAGTTTCAAAAAGAACACTTGCAGGAACACATTCTTAGTCTGGGAACAAGATTGGACAACTCTGTGTTAAACAGGGGGAAAAGGCTTCTGCCCCAGCCTCTTGTGGCTGAGAGGTGTAGGAGGAAATTCTCTTTTTCCTCCATGCAGCCAGGTGGGACACTGGTGGTGTCACTTGTTACCTGATCTGCAGCACAGGAAGGGGTCTGGCAGCTTTAGCAACCACTGCCTGCTCTCCTGGTCAGCATTTGGCAACCAGATCCAAGTGCCCAAACCTAATTCCATGCCCTGACCCCAGCTGGGTGTGCTCAGGGGGATTCTGTGCTCAGGAGGTTTGTGGCTGTAACTCCAGATTTGAGACGTTCCCTCGGTGTCTTTTGAAGGAAGAGCTGACTGCTCACAAAAAGAGTATCTGAAGGTGTCCTCAGAGCCAACCACCCTTTCAGACTTGCAGCTCTGGGGAGGAAGGGTCTCCAGAACACTTGAGCTTTGCCAGCTTGAGTGTGCCAGCCCGCTCCTTCCTCCTCTGTCCCTTCTCAGCTCTCCCACAGCCCCTTTGTTCTCCTGACCTGTGCTACTGCAGCTGTTGAGCAGAGACCACCTGGTTTCAAACTCTCCTCTGGCATTGCAGGCTTTGCTGGTCAGTAGTGTGTCCCTGGCACTCAAACATGCTCTGCCTTCTGGTCCTGGCGCTCCACATCATTTAAGGGAAGGGAGGAAGGGGGGTGAGGGTGGTTGAAGTGGTGCAGAATCGAGAAACTGCTCCTCTTTCCTCCCCCTGGTCTGGTGTTCACCCAGTGCCCATGGCTGGGAGTCCTGACAGCTCCTGTGCTACATTCCAGGGGGGTACATGTCCAAGATCCTGCAGTGACACCCATCACTGTGGACATCAATCACCACAAATTGAATCCAACCCTGCACTTGGAGCTGACAGAAAACTCTCACTAATGCAGAGCAGCATGACAGAGCTGCTGGACCTATCCCTTGGGAGAAATAAATTACAGAAATTGTAAATGTTGGAAAGTAATGCTAATCACTGAAAAAAAATACCCCTTTGCACTTTCACTCTGCTGGAATCTGAGGAAGGCTCTTTCAGTAGCATCCATGCAAGTCATTGGTGTCAGCTGTCCCACCTCCTCACAGAGAGCAGCCTGAGGGATCATTAGATCCTAAAAAAGCAGATGAAGCAGCAGAAGGGATCAGTCATTTTCGTTCTTTGTTGCTTGTAGAAAAGCACTGGGGCAGCTGCAGATGATGGAACAAAGAAGCCACCAGATGTGAGGAAGCTGCAGGTAGGTCTAAGCAACTTCACAGGGATCTGAAGTCATTGCATTTTGAACCCCTCCCCATGTCAGGTCATGAATAAAAGTGTCAAATTCTGTGGCAAAAAACCTGGACAAAGTCTGTCTCATATCAGGCACAATGCTCACACCTTGTTAAGGGGACACCTGGCTCAGTCCTGTCCTCAAAGGGATTTTTATAAAAACCAGGAGACAGCTCAGGCTTCCCCAGTGGATTTGACCAGCAGAGTGCTATTCATCCTCTGCTTTGAACAGGCATACAGAAATTCAGAAAGTGATTTTCCTTACCTGATTTTGTGGCTAATTTTCCTCCTGGGCTCCCAGAGCAGAGGTTGGCAGGGTCAGTCCTCCCCCACAGCAAACACTGCACAGCTTATTCCTCCCCTGCTAGTTAAATTGCTGCCCCTTTGTCTGCCCACGGCTGGCCAGTGGAGGAGGGAACTGGAATTGACTGGGATTGTGCCTTTCCACAGCCTGGGCCAGCCCTGCAGCGGGGCAGCAGCTCGGCCTCCCTGCACAACTCCCAGATGCGCGGCACCATCTTCCAGCTCATGATCCACACCCTGGACCCCCTGGCAGAAGGTGAGTGGAGGGACTTGGGTTTGCTGCCCTGAGTGCAGAGTGGTTTAACTGGGAACACAGGCTGTGTGTGTCAGTGTTTTGGGGTCAGCAACTCACCCCTGGAACGCAGCTCTGCGTGTCACAGGCAGTGTCAGGAGCTCTGTGTTTCTTCTGATCCAGTGCTGGGAGGACAAACACCTCATGCTTTGGTCCTGCCACATCTGCTTTGCCTGTGCCAAGCTGGTCACTGCTGTGGTGGCAGCTGCTGCTGGGGTCCCTGAAAGTGGTGACAATCACTGCTGTCCCCCATCTCTGCTCTCTTTGACTGCAGCAAACATTAGTCACATCTTCCTTCATCTTCTTAACTCAGACCTCACCCCAGCCCTGAAACAGCAGCACAAAAAGAGGTTAAAACCCCTGAAGAATTATCATTTTGACAGTGATTAATATCCCAGCTGGGATTTAAATCACAAAACGAGCTCCAATTACGATGGTTAGGCCAATTCTATGTGGTTTAGACCAACACCAAGCACCTCTAAAAGCCCCCCTGCACTGCTGTGGTGCCATCACTGCCATGGCAAAGTGTGTTCCCAGCACAGTGCAGGCAATGGGCAGCTCCCCAGGGCCAGGGAAAGATCAGCTCAGGTCCAAGACTCTTTTAAACTGCCCAGGGTGCAGAGAAGCCTCATCTCCAGACAGAGACAGGGTCTTTGTACACAGACTTTTAACACGCTGCTTTGTATTAAACTTTAATCCAACTCCACTGTGGAGGTTCATTTTTCAAGTGAAAGGCATAAAAAAGGACTTTTTTAGATTTTCTTCCCTAGCTCAGCTCATGCCCCACCCCTCCACTGCCCTACTTGTTCTTAAGAGATTACCTGCTGTCCATTCAAAGAGAGAAGGAAGCTAAGCAGATCAACACCTCTCTCGTGGCTCTCACAGAGGTTACAAAAAGGACTCTCCAGATCAAAATCCCAGCTGCACAAACTGATCAAGGGAACAAAAGAGGTTAGGTGAGGACAGCAAGGCAGAGAAGTGTCTGCTTTGACAGTCTGGGGAAGGCACCCAAACCTGTTAGGCAGCCTAACAACTCATCACAGTTTGCCCTACTGCCCTCGCCTCCTCTTCCCCCAAGAGGTGTTATCAACAGCACCAGGATAATGCCAAAACCTTCCAAGAGGACATGCCATTGTCTTGAGCATCAGAAAGTGCCAGACTTGAGGGGCTGCTGCTGCTCAGAGACTCCCCCACAGCACCTTCTCATCCTTCCCACACCTCCAGATGTCTCTGTGCAGCATCTCCCACCCCAGGCCAGCAGACACTTGGCTTTCTGGTCCAGGCCAGTGCCCTGGGGAAACCCTGGGACCTCAGCAGGAGTTGCAAGATGAGGCCAAGGACAGTTCCAGCCAGTTCAGCCTGGAATAGGCTGCTGGGAGGTTTCCATGCAGTTGTAAAAGCCACTGTCCCTGCTAAAGAGGCTGCTATTCCAAGGACTATATTGAATAAACGGGATTGGAGGTGGGGGGCAGTTTCGATCTGCTCTGAAAGAGAACTTCCCTGCTCATTCCACAGAATCATTTAGGTTGTAAAAGCCTTCCATGAGTCCAACTGCTCCCCTGGCACTCCCCCACCCTGTTCTTAAATGCCACATCTACATATCTTTCAAATCCTCCAGGGCTGGGGAATCCACCACTGGCCTGACAGCCTGTGCCAGGGCTGGACAACCCTTTCCATGAAGAAATTTTTCCTGCTATCCAATCTAGACCTGCCCCAGCAGCCAGGCAGGGTGTGAGTTACTGTCTGTGCAGCAGCCACTAGATGGGAGTGTGAGCACGTGTACTTCAGTCTGATACAAAGGGATGCAAGGATGGGCTACAACAGTCTCTCCAGAAGGTTATTCTTTTTAATGAGGAATTTCTAGCAACTTTATGCTTTCACACACTTTCTCTGGAAGTGTGCAGAAGCAGAGCATGAGATCTTTTCAGGATTTTCCCCAATGACACCAGAGGGAACTGTGGGGGAATGAAAAGAAAAAGGATTTTGGAAATACTCAGGAACCCTCTCATTGCTGAACCTCCAGTCTTACCATCAGGTTATCCTTTAAAGTCCAGTCATGCAGGGAAGAAGGCAGAAGCTAACTTTTGTTTTTGAATGAAGAAAAAGGCTCCAGCAGCAGAGCTGCCTGTCCTCAGTATGCCCCAGTTAACAAGCTAATGGTTTTGGAAATTAGACCAGCCCAGAGCAGCAGGCAAGGTTGCAGGCCAGAGCCAAGTGAGTAGCTGAAGGCAGCTACAGTTTCTCCTTGTTTCGTTAGCATTCCATCACTTGTTAAGGAATCAAGATACAAAGGAGCAAAAGGAATAATGAGTTTGTTTTTTCATTTCCACTTTTAGACAGCAGAATCTCCAAATCCTTCAGGTTCATGCTAAATTGTTCCTGCTGATCGTGTTGTGAAAGCCAAAGACTGCATTAAACCCAAGAGCCAAATTCAGGGTAAAAGCTCAGCTGCCACCTGAAGTCCAGCCTGGGTGCTGTCGATCCATAGGACAGGAATCTTCCTGGATAGCATCTCAGAGCCCCTAAACACAGAGATGTCCTGTGTGATGGGCTCTCAGAGCTGGGGCCAGAGTTGCCAGCAGTGGATGCCCCAGGGGACTGAGGGCCCCTGCCCTGCACAGCTAATCCAGCACAGCAAGGACTGAGCTCAGGGACATCCTTCCTGCCTATGCTGACCTGCAGATCAGCCCATCTTAGAGCCAGCTCTGGCTCCAGCCTCAGTCCACACAGGAATTGTGTCAGAGGAATTAACACCTTTCCAGATGAGACTGATCTCCTGAGGACTGGAGAGGGGCCTGGGCCTAATCTGTTTGTGCTGACAGAGGGATGCTGAGGGCTCCACTCCCAGCCTGGGCCAGGGCAGGGAGCCAGGAGCTTCAATGTATATAATCTCCCTCAGGCTGAGCCTGACTGCCCTGACCTTGCTGACAGGAGCTTTTGCAGCAGCTTCAGGGACAAGCTGAACAGAAAGATGCATTGCCCAGTGCTTAGAGGGGATTGGGAGCAATGGGCCACCTCTGTGCTGCCCTGCACCCAGGGATGTCCCAGTGCATCAGCTCAGGGGGAAGGAAGCAAAATGCTTCCCATCCCCTCTGGTGAGCTTCAGGATTGACAAGGAGCATGGAAGAGTCAGGCTCTTGAGTCCCAGCCAGCCTTTCAAAGGAGAAAAAAAATCATCATTTTGATTAGATATAGGGAAGAAATTCCTCCCTGTGAGGGTGGGGAGGCCCTGGCACAGGTTGTCCAGAGCAGCTGTGGCTGCCCCATCCCTGGAAGTGTCTAAGGCCAGGTTGGCTGGGGCTTGGAGCAACCTGGGATAGTGGAAGGTGTCTGTGTTCATGGCAGAGGGTTAGAACAAGGTGATCTTAAGTTCCCTTCCAAACCAAATCATTCTGGGATTCTATCATCATTTCATCTCAGTCCAGTGCTCATTCCAAGGCTCAGTGGAAATTTCAGTTGGTGAAAAATATTTGTCAGACACTAACAGGAATCTCACCAGAATAGGACTTGTCCCCTGAGGTCTTAATGTCTGAGCTGGACCCAGTTATTGGACATACACCAGAATTTACTGATTTTTGTGAGGTTCAGCTCTGAATCTGATCTGCCCACACAGCTCATGGCCTCAGGCCTGCAATTTTTATTATATCAGTATCACAGTGATGTATAAAGTGGCAGGGCCCTGCCCTTGGGGCAGATGACAACAGCACGTTCTGGTTGTGTACTCAGCAGCACAGTGGATTAAATCAGTGTGATAAAACTTCCAGAGGAAATGAATTTACAGCCCTGCACACCAGCCAAGCAGAGCGTGGCCAGTTCCTTGTGGCTCCTGTCCGTGTGCAAACCCTGCAACCCTCAGCTGAGTTGTGGGGTGGGCAGCTCAACAGAGGGCACAGAGTAGAGAAGATGGGGCTTTTCTTTGAGCCTGTGTTTTGTCCCGTTTCAGTGAGAGTCAGCACTAAGAGATTTGAGCACAACACTGAATTATGGAGACACACACACAGTTTCACAGTTCACTGTAAGCCGGTAATAAAGCAGCTCAGCTGAGCAGAGCAGAACATGGTTCACAGTGGAAGAAGCCCCCAGCAATCCCAGAAATACAGCACTGGACCCTGCACTGCTGAAGATCATCTCCCACACAGCCTGGACACCAGGAATTTAGATCAGTGCCAGCACAGCAGAGCAGACACTTGTGTATACTTAGAGAAATCAATAATTTTCCAAGGAACTGGAACATAAAAGGTTTTTATTTTCCCTCACCATCAGGTCCCCAGGCTGCAGGCAGCACCCTAAGGCCTCTTCAACAGCCACATGGCAGGAGGGAGGTGTCAGTTTTAGTTTGCACATAATCTAGCCTGAAAAAAATCAATAGTCCCTTGGGAACAAGATGATATTGCACTAAAACTCCTCCTCTGTTCTTTCTGCATTTGCTTCCTATGAAGTACAGATACCCTTCTGCACTAATGACCTGGAAAGGATTTCTCTTCCTTCTAGTTCTCTTTAAAATATGATAGTATTAGTTACCTCTCAAATGGCTGGTGTAATTGCTCTAGCACTAACATTTAAACATGCCAGCCATGATCAACAGCAGCAGCCAAAACCTGGGGGCACAGGCACAACAGCTCACAGGTCAGTGCTGACTGCAGCCCATGGAAGAGGAAAGGGGCAAGAGCATGGGTGTGTAGGGGGGAGGTAAAGGGGGGTTCCACAGCTGACAGCTGCTGATGGACATGTCCTCCTCATCCACAGAAAAATTTAAAGACAGGGTTGACATCCTGAGCAACATGGCCAAGACCAAGGCCAAGGCAGAGACCTTGGATGGACAAGGCCCACAGCCAGAAGGTGAGTGCAAGAGCCATTTGCCTGGTTTTGCAGTGCCAGCCTTCACCTTCCCAGCACACAACACCCCAGGGCTGGCACAGAGACAGCGGGGTCTGACACAAGGTCTGTGTTATTGCTGCTCACAGGTGGCTGCTGTAACAGTGCAGCAGGAAATAGTGGATGTGTGTGGGCAGGAACAGCCATCCCAAAGGAGCCCTCAGTGAGACAGAGACAGGGCAGGGAGTGCTACAAGGATGTAGTGGAAGTGGCCATGGAATGGTGGAGAAGGGAAGTCAGGCCATTACAGGCAGCACTTGGGTGCTGCTGGCCTTTGGTAGACCCTTCAAACTAAGGTGTTTGTTAAAACAAAGGACCTTCAATTTAGCTTGGAAATTTGCCAGACTTGCAGAAGAGCATGGAAGGTTCCTGCAGAGGGAATCAGCTGCACTGACTGTTCCTATATCAGCCTAAGGGGCTGTGCATTCTTCCCTTGAATAGATTCACAGAATCATTTGGGTTGGAAGGGACCTTAAAGCTCATCCAGCTCCAACCCTTGCCCTGGGCAGGGACACCTTCCACTAGCTCAGGTCGCTCCAAGTTCATCCAACCTGGCCTTGGACACTTGCAGGGATGGGGCAGCCACAGCTTCTCTGGGCAACCTGTGCCAGGGCCTCCCCACCCTCACAGGGAAGAATTCCTTCCTGATATCCCCTCTGACCCTGACCTCTGGCGGTTCAGTACTTTTTGGGTTTTCTCTCTCACTGCTGACACACAGCCTGTCTGAGCTGGCTGTGCTACAACATGGGTTTGTGCTGCCTGGGAAGATGGAGATTTTGAAAAACAGGAAACTTTTGTGTGGAAGGTCCCAGCTCCACACAACACAGGGACCTCAGCATCTCACAACACTGGGCCTCACCTGAGTGAGCCTAAACTTGAGAAAAATACTGTTTAAAAAACAATTGCTTGTGTGTGTTACCAACATCTCATTGACTTCACCTGTGCTCTGTGTTGTCCTTGTTTCCACACTATTACACACGAAGGTTTCTGTGTTCCTCTTGGCTACACAGGAACAGCACAGAGGACATTGCAGTTGTTTCCTTGTACGTGTCAGCACTTTGCCATTTGCTTTTGAATCCCCACCAAATGATCAGGGATTAAAGTCTGGCAGCACATCCAAGTCATTTTTCAGAAGCCTTGAAGAAGCAGCTCCCTGGAGAATGCTCCCATGCTTCACTGGAAAAAAAAAACCAAAAACAAAATACAAAAAAAAACCCATAAAAGAAGCAAGGCTTAACATCCTTTCTGGCTTTTAAGGATGGTTTTAGTAAGATCTTCGGGATCCAGAAAGCAACAAGGAAATACTCATCAGCTGTAGATGAGGTAATTAGCATTTCCCTGTTGTTACACATGTCTCTTACAGCAGTTCTGGAGAGGAGGTCACAGGAACATCAAGGTCTTATTCTACTCCAGGAGGGTCAGATTCTGCCCAGATCACAACCACAGCAAACCTAGGCAGTCTGACAGGGTTTCACCTGAAATGCCACACGTTTTGGGAGGGAGGTCAGATTCTCCCTGCTGACCATGGGGAAGGTGAGCTCCTGACAATTAAACCCAGTGTTCCTTCTTATTGCTTTTTGCAGAAGAGGAAAAGAAGGTCCCAAGCACCATCCAGGTAACTCCTGCCCATGACTCTGAGCCCAGCAAAGCCACAGAGAAGGCAGATGCACCACAGGATGGACAGGTATTGAAATCAGGATCACAGGCAGTAAGTGCTCCCTCCAGGCCGACCTTCACATGTACTTCCCTTCTTCCCTCTCCAGAACTTTTGGGACAGGATCCAACTCATGTCACTGGCAGCTATATATAGACTGTGCAGTGATTTATTAATATTTGGCTGAAACATTTTGGCTTACAAACACAGATCAGGTCCAAAATATGATACCAACTGATCCTGTATAGTATTTTCCACTCCTCTGAGGCCAGGGGGGTACTCCAGGGCAAGGGAAGATCCCAGGATGTGCCTGTCCTGTGCTCCTCAGTGTGCAGTTCTGCTTTGCTCCCCAAATCCCTCCTTCCAGGTGATGTAATTTGGCTGTTCTGATGAGGAAAGGATTTTCAAGGACAGTTTGTGTCAAAACCTCATCTAAAAGGTAGTTCTAGTTAACAGATGCAATTTAGTTGACAATACACAGATGCTGGGGATACACAGGATGAGCCTGGATCCTGCCCACAGTAGTGAGATGGAGCCTGTGGGTGCCCCTAGCCCTGTTACAAATCTGAGCTCTGCCCAGGTGAGGCCAGGGGGAATAAATGCAGCTCCTTGCAGATGTGAAAACATATTGGCTTTTTGATTTTTTTTATCCTGATCTACAGCCCTCATCAAGCAGTGACAGCTCAGAAGACAGCAGCTCTGAGAGTGAGGAAGACAGTGATGAGGACAGCACAGATGATGATGATGAAAACGATGAGCCCTTATCTCTGCAATGGCCAGAAACAAGGAAAAAACAAGCCATTTACCTTTTCCTCTTTCCCATTGTCTTTCCTCTCTGGAGCACTCTGCCTGACGTCAGGAACCCTGTAAGAATCTGTCTTCTTTCTGCTACTGGAGTCATTAACTGAGCTATAGATTTCCTCTGGGCAAGAGTCCCCAGCTCCATTTTTCCATGTCTGGAGCCTTTGCATACTTGAAGGGCTGTTACTGCTGCAGGGGGTGGGACAGGAGGCCCAGCTGCAGTGGAACGTTGTACAGACTTAATTTAATAAACCACAAATTCTAGCAACTGCAGGTCACCTAATCGAGCTGAAAACCAGAAATACAAATAGAAACCAGGGTCCAAGTTAAAGCAAATCAACTGCAGGGAAGTGTTTCAGGTGAATGGTTTTCACTGGGGATTATTAACTTGCCTGAAACGTCTCTTTTTTTTCTTTCCAAACTTGATTTCAACAGGACTCAAAAAAATTCTTTGTCATCACGTTTTTTGGATCCATCCTCTGGATTGCTGTGTTCTCTTACCTCATGGTGTGGTGGGCTCACCAGGTGAGGGGTTTGTGTTCTCTCTGCAAATCACCAGTTCAGAGCTAGTAGATGGAGAGAGGCAACAGTGTCACTTGGCATTTTATCTCATGAATTACAGCTGCAGCCCATCACAACAGTAGAAACTTTGTTTTGTTAGAACTCAAAAGGGAATTTTCTATTTCCTTTTTTTTTTTTTTGATTTGACAAAGCTTCATTCTTTTCCAAGAGCTTCCAAGGGAGTTTGTGCATCAGTGAAAGGAAAGTGCAATGAAAGGAAAAGTACTGTCAAGATTTATCTTAATTCTGACTTTTCATTGATGAATGTTTCTGTGCAGAACATAATTATCCATTATCTAATTAAAATTCTAGGAAAATAAAGGGTCTGATTCTGGAAGCTGCTAAATGATCTCAACTCCCTCTGCCCTAATGTTCACCTGGTATTCTGGGAAATAATACTTCCATCTTGTAGAATCACTCCCCCCATTCTATATTTAGTGATATATTGCACATGTACAATATAGCTGATCATGCCATAAATCCAAGGACTGTCATTTCCAAAAGCCCTCAGATCTTGTATAGCTGATGTTAAATCTGGAGAGGGAAAAAGTGGACAACATCCAGCAGAGGTGGACTGAGGACAGCAGAGTTGTGCTGTGGCTGACTTGACCTTGCTCAGTGTTGGCATCACTGTGATCAGATTCCCTGCACTGCAGAGCAAATCCAGGATCAACAGACACTGTGAAATTTAACTTTCTAATCCTACAAAGCAGCAAAATGCTCCCATGTTTAGGGGATTCAGATTATTATAACTCCAGTATGGCACAAACCCCAAAACTGCACAGAGCAACTGTAGTCCCTGTTCCAGTGCTAACAGCTCTACCCAATTTGTGTTGATTAGGTTGGGGAAACAATTGGGATATCAGAGGAAATTATGGGTTTGACCATCCTGGCAGCAGGAACATCCATCCCTGACCTCATCACCAGTGTCATCGTGGCACGGAAAGGCTTGGGTGACATGGCTGTGTCCAGCTCTGTGGGCAGCAACATCTTTGATATCACTGTTGGGTGAGTACCAGTTCAGTGCTAAAACATGCATTTCTTCTGAAATACAAAGCTGGTTTTATTCCAAACATACCTATTAATTTAATTTTAGCTGTCTTTAAATGAAGGGCAGCTGGGCAACCAGGTCCTTTAAAAAAAAACAAACAAAAACCCAAGTCCAAACCAAACAACACCCAAACCCAGCCAGGAAAGACAAAGTGTTACAGCTCAGCCCACCATCTTCACCTAATTCTCAATCAACAGGAAATTACCATTTTTTCAAGACAAAAATTCAAGAAATCTTTGGTAAACATCAAAGATTTACAGGCAGGAATAAGATCTGGTCACTCAGAAACATGCAGCTCCTGTGCAGACAAGGGCAGGATCAGTGCCTGTATCTTCCATCATAGAGCATCAGGACATTTCTTTATTACAGCCCAAGACATTTAATTTATAGGTCCTTTCAGCCTCTTGGATTGCACTATGATAGTGGAAGCATTATCCAAATGCAATTTTGATACAAACAACATCTAGTTTAGATTTATGCTGAGCTACATTGAATGCAATCATGCATTTTTTTCCCCCTGTAAGACTTTGGAAAAATTGCTTAGTTATGATGCAGAAAATGAACTGCCTTAAAACATTTATTTCAATTACTTTTCCTTTACTTGCAGCTTGCCAGTTCCCTGGTTCCTTTTTTCTGTCTTCAATGGCCTCAGCCCCGTGGCAGTGAGCAGCAATGGTTTGTTTTGTGCAATTGTTCTCCTTTTCCTCATGCTCCTGTTTGTGATTATCTCCATCGCTGTCTGTAAGTGGAAAATGAACAAAATGCTGGGGCTCACCATGTTTGCTCTTTACTTTGTGTTTCTGATCATCAGTGTGATGTTAGAAGATAAGATAATATCCTGCCCAGTATCTGTATGATGGCTGGACACTTCAAGATGTGTGTGAGGATACAGCAGCATCAGAAGGGGTTTAAGGTAGCAAATGTTCTACTGAAAAAAAAGGAACCAGAATTCTAACAAACTTACTGAGAATAAAATACCTTTAACTTACTAAAAAATAAATAAATCTCAAGTGGTATGTCAGCCTCTGCTATTTTTCTTTAGGATCAGAACAGATACAGTATCAAATAGCACAATGTTTATGCACTCGTGGCAAAGGCTGATGTGATACAGATGCATTCAGTTTTCAGTTTGGCTGATCCCCTCAAGTTAATGGAGTTGATTTTCAGTACAAAATGTTTACCCATTACAGAAATTCTTCAGGAACACACTCTAAATTACGCAGTGGACTGCTCAAACTCTGAAATCAGTGAATTTTACTTCAGGGGGAAGAGAACCAGCCCCATATGGTCAGGCCTCTACACAACTGCTCTGCCTAAAGTCACCATGTGGCCTCACATGCTGCATCTCAGCAGTGAATTCTCTCAAACTGCACTAAGCTCCTTTTAAATCCGTACCTGATCTTGCAATACAGGCCCTAAAATTTAAATTAAGTGCAAAAACGTGATATCACCTGGATTTACATCTTGCCACTACAATGGATCTGGGGTTACAATAGCACATTACCACTGATCAAAACTAAAGCCAGGAATCAAATACTGCAACAAGAAGTTGAACTGCTGGGCGTTTGTTTTCATCCTGACACTAATCCCTGCTATTTACAGACTATTATATCCAGCACTAATTCCTGTTGTTTGCACTGTTTTCTGCACAGATATGATGAAAAAATGCCACTGACCTCAACAAACCTGGGAGGATTATTGTTAACACCTCACGAGAGCAAACAATGCAGTTAAGAGTTGCAGACATTTCTAATCCATCTAATAAAATGTTAATGAAAATAACCAGAAAGATTTTAACCTTTTTATTGACTCACTGTAAAACTTCTTTTTTTTTTTGGATGAGACAGAAAAAAAACTTAACATTGTGAACACTGACTTTGCTTATTTTAAAGGAACTACAAACCAAAGCAAACATCCAACATACTGGTTTTTGGTAAATAAAATTTAAACATTACATATTTACAAATCTACAACCATTCAATTAAAAAGTGCTGCTTGCAGACTAACAAAGTACCATTTTTAAATCCCAGTGAGATAATATCCAGAAATACCCCTCTCTATTATTACTGTTTGCATCTCCCATTTGTTACACAAAGATTCTGCATGCAGGAATTTTCTCTTTCTTGGGGTACAAATCATTCAATTTGCCAGTGGAAGTCAAATTCATCAGGCTGTAACTGTACCAACAGCAAACCCTCTCAAATGGGACACAGCAGTGTCAGAGAAACAGCACAATTCCTATTCACATTTCGGTATTTCATCTCCAATAATTATTCCAGTGGAACCATAAGTAAAGCAAAATATATATTGCACTGCAAATGTAAAACCTTTGTTTAAGGTTTCGGACATAAGCATTATTTAGTACACAAAAGGAGAAAATTCAGTTCATACAAAATTTTAAATTGAAAATATGTCTCAAATATTTTATTTATCCATCTTTGCAGTATTGGAAAATATAGTCAAATTGCTTTTCTAATAAAGGACAGTGAGATTTGAAAACTGTTTCAACACTGAATTGCATGATGCTTAAAAATTATCCACCTCGGGACCTACGTTTGGAACGTTATGACTCGAATGAGGAAAATTTCCCATTTATAGTATATTGTTATTCCAACTCTATTTTGATAAATTTCTACAGTGGACTGACTCGCAACAGACCTTATTAAACAATTCATTAAGTATAATGATGTCACTTGATGAGCCACTACATGATCTAGTAATTCAAAAGCACACCCCAGTGAACATCAGCAATGCTTCAGGAGTGCCACGCTGGGGATGCAGGAATATTGAAGGACTGCTGGAAGGCTGAGGGACAATCCTGTTCCTGGGGCAGCACCTACTGTCTGGTAACACTGCAGGACTGTGGACACCGGAATGAAGCGGCAAAAGTGCTGGGTTTCTAAGTCTGAAGGCAGCTGGAAGTACTTACAAGGAAGCTGGGACTGGGATGGATCACCTGCACCAACACACCTCGGCAGTGCCGTGTCCAGGGACGGACCGGGCTCGGCGCTTCCGCCACACCGGGACGGGGTGGGAAGCCTGGTCATAGCTCAGCCCCTCTGAGCACCACGGCAGCTCTGGAAAAAGCACTTGCTCTCTCTCCTTCATGGCCCGAAGGTCCCATAATACAGTGGCTGCCCCAGTGGTAAATGGCATGGGAAGCAGAACTGCAGGGAGCTGGGAACACGGGGATGAGCTTAAATACACAGCAACTACTGCAGGCGAGTTTTCCATGGTAATGCAGCATTCCCGCTGCACAGGGCAGAGCATCCATGCACACTAAGGGCTACTCACAGGGAATATGGTCAGAAATAGCCTGTTTTTTCACAACAGCTCAGAAGAACAAAGGGGGTGGGTGTGTTTACCATGTACCTGGGCGAGGAAGGGAGCTCCATGTCATGCACGAGGGACACTGTACAAGCGTGGCAGGACAAAGAGCATCACAAATGGTTAAAATAAATTAAATGTGAACAACGGTCTGAGGGTAGCATTGCCAGCTCCACCTCAGGGTGGGGGATACTTTCAAAAAGGTCAGCTACATAATTAGCAGCACGTTAGAGAAGAGGCATTACCCGATGGAAGTTGTATCCTGCATCTTGCAATTATCAACAGCACATTCCTGCAGCTCTGCATGTTTTAAACCCTTTCTCCTTAGGACACCATCTTCTTAGGACTTTACAGAGGTCTGGGAGGAGGTTACAGAGCTTCATAGCAGCATTACTTCTCATGTAAGCCTCTAAGGCTTGCTCTATTTCATTTAATAGAGTAAATGTGAGCTTTAAAGTTTAGCACTTTCTGCCTAACTAAATATTGCTGGTTTATTACGCTTGCAAACTAAAGATGTTTTTAAAAACACCTGCTGGTAGGCAGATTGCCATATAAAATCTAATGTAACAGCTGATATTTAGAAATATTCTAACAGTAACGACTAAAAGAAATTAGAATTGGAAAATGCATTAAGATTACTTAAAATAAAGCTATTTGTTAAAGCATGATTTAACTTGTTTAGGGTGTTTTATACAGTTCAATGTCTGCTTTCCCACCTCCACACAAGACTTCTGATATTTTCCCTGTAGCCTACCTTCTGGTGAGGAGTTGCTATGTGACTGAGAGCACAGAACATTTCTTTAAATGTCTAGAACAAGAAAACATGAGGCAAAAGCCATGACTCCACCACAAGGACTGACACAGCGCTTCTCTTCAGAGAAAAAAAGTTGCTTTGCCTGTGAAATAGAGACCAAACATTCCAAGTACATTTAACTATGCACAATATGCCCCAATAAGTTACATTCCCTATATATTCCCTGTAGCAGGTTTGCTGTCTGTACTTCAGTTAAGAGCTTTGGGTTAGCACTATGAATGTGTCATATTTAGTGTGTTTTAACACAACCACCGAGACTCCGAACGCTGCGGTTTGTGAGGAACCTGCTGCATTTGCTTTGTGTTCCATCTGGGATGAGGTCACACCAACAAATGCCGACAGCTGAGATGGGCTGATTCCATAACAATCTGTAGGACTCTTCAACAGGCTTTCCCTTTCCTGGGGAGTGGGGAGGGAAGGGAACACGAGAGGAAGAGGAGATTTCTACAGAAGTGTTTTACAGAGACATCAGTGTGTTCATTATTAGTAGAGTTTTACAGATTTTTACCATACCTTCCTTCTGATTGCTGTGGTAACACGTTTTCCAAGTGTGCATGAGAGAAATCCTGGATCTTAAGTACTGTCTAGGTGAAGGTTAACATTTTCTATTCTGCTTTAAAACCAATCACTCTTCAAAAAGTAACTGGACAAGTTACTATAAATAGCAGTGTACTGCAAAAAAAATAAGCACTGTATTGCTTATGCAGCAAGTCCATTTAAAATTCACTCCAGTAATTTAAAAAAATTAAAAAAATATCAACTTACTATAAACAATTTAAAATATGTATAATACAACTTTGTATGCTCTTCATAACATCATGAATATTCTATGTAAACAATAGATTCTGAAGAATTTCCTTCGCTCACATTAGTTTCAGTGCATTGTTTCTGTCCACCTGGTTTTTTTTTACTTTTTGTTTTAAGGGAGCTGTAATTTGCTGTCCCAAGTCAAAGAACTGATTTTGTTTAGAACCTTCCTTTCCACACACTGATCTGCAGAAAGGACAAGGGAACAGGGCAATAATAGTTGGCCCGTTTTCCTCTCTGTCCATCTCCACAACCGCAGACAGGCCCAATTTCCCGAGGCCTCCACGCACGCACGTCCTCCAACACTGAAGACTGAGATGTTCCTTGTGACTGAAGTGGTTATTTTACACAGGTACACGTCAGAGATATCACCTCTTTAGCCAGGAATATCTAAAGGTACGGTTCTCCAAAAATCTTTCTGCATTCCATCACTCCAGTGCTCGGGGGTCTATCACAATTATGAGTGTTCTTCACTTGATTAGCGGTCAGTCGGTCATAGGCCATTTTGTACTCTCTGTCAAAAGCATCTGCAGGGAGGGAAAAACAACTCCTAGTGCTCAGAAACACCCAAATGCCATGACAGCTGCATTTATCAGCAAAAAATAAAGTCCTTTTTATTTGGCACTTACCACAGAGTGGCACTCATCTAATTTTTTTTAAAAGCTGAACAACTAGTTTGCACACACTCATCATCTGTGCTCAGTTAATAATTGAAAAAACTCACCTATATCAATGTTATCTCTTCCCAGGGCAACAAGTGAAAGAAACAGTATTTCTCTGTAAAGGCTCCTGAAACGGTAAAAATAAAAAGTTAATTTCTATATTGCAACAATATACGACAAAACAATCTATATTAAAAATAGATTGAAGCACTTAAAAATAAAGTTATTTTTAAAAAGAGGCATTTTGAACATAATTCCTGGTTGCCACCTCCAAAATGTTGTCATTTCTGACCTCTGGGGAATGCCCTGGATTCCCCACATATGGAAATCACTCATGGGAGGTCCTTAAGGCAACCACTGTGGAAGTTGTACCAAGTACATGGAGAGAGAAAGATGCACTTAAGGCAAGTTCCAACCACATTCCCAAATTCCAATTTGCTTTTCTGCATTTCTGTATCAGCTTGAAAAAGCAAGCAGACAAGCAAATAAACACCCTGTCAGTGCTGCAGCTGTTGACAAGAC